GAGTGGACCCCGGCCCCCCGACGTTGATGTGGAGAAAGTGCTAGAAGCGAGCCGGCAGCGTGGGCAAGCAGCTGGCATCTCCCGGGGCAACAGGTTTCTCCTCCACCATCAGCTCAGCCCCTGGGCTCCGCTCATCCCAAAAGCCCATGTCTACAGTTATGTGCCTGACCGCTCCTGATCATTAGACCCTGATGTCTGTGTGTTGCATGAAGTATACAATGGTTTCGATACTCAACAAAATCATTAAACACTTATTTTTAAATTTTCAGTATGATTATAAAACCATCATGAAAGTCTCCTGTCTGCTGATTGTATCCCTGCGGTTTGAACCAACCCCTGAACCAGTCCAATGAAGCTGGTTAAAAAATAGTGGGCTTTTTATCTTTTATTCATGACCTGACAGTTTCTGCGCACAATATCTTTGGACTAGAACATGTCTGAACAAGGAAACAAAACCAGACCTGCTCAAAATACTAGAAATCACGTGGACTCCAAACAGCCTTTCAGATTTTACTGGTAAACAGCCGGATGGGAGCCTTGTGGATAAGCGAGATGCTTCACAGTTGTCTTTCAAACAATGCAAATACTGAACAAAAGAGTCAGCTGAATGTCTGCAGTCTGTTTGGTTTTGATGACTTTCTTCCTTTAGTTTTCCATCCTGTGTCAGAACGATTTGGACCCCAGTGCAGCCAAATTTATAAGTGCCTGCCTGATTTCAAGCACATTTAAATTAATTTTAGATCTATTGCACTGTAAGTGTGGAATCATTCACATCAAGTGGATGTACACATACGCTTTTGAACTAAGATCTCTTCATCAACATTATTCAGTTTACAATGAACTCCTTGGGAAAGATGCTTACAGCTTAATCTTTGAAATATGGCCATAAAAGACTCAAGATGTGATGTCACACTAGTTCTACCTGTAACGAGACTTAGTGAAGAAAAAAACAGGATAGCATGGAGGGTTTTGTATTTTATGGCCAAAGCTAGGATGTGTCCAGACAGGATAAAACCTTGAGCAACCTGGGCTGATCTTGTAGCTGATCATGCTTTGAGCAGGAGGTTGGTCCAGAGATACCCTGAGAGCTGTTGCAATCTGAAGTGTCCCATGATCCTGTGATTCACAGTAAAGGGAAGAGCAGTACATATTGTTCAAACCCAAAGATTTTCAGGGAAGACAGGAGGAAGGTTCACAGTAAATGACAATATAATTTATTTCTTTTTTCCCATTTACTGTAGCTGAAAACAGTCTCTGACATCTATAAGCAAGCTAAAAATGGCCTGAAATATTTTATATATAGTGTCTTTCACTATCTTTCCTTTTATGATCAACTCTTCATGCACTGTAAGATGCAAGGATACCAAAGGAACTTGAATGAACAGGTCTAATGCTAATGATCCATGCTGGATATGCAGGAGAGATGGCATGCAGCTCCTCTGAGAGGATGGCAAACAGTTGGGTAAGTGTAATTTTAGTCTCTGCATGCCATGAGCAGCATGTGCAGGAAGTGAGGAGTGTTTCTATGGGAGAATCTGCCAAATCTATCAATACACTACTTTTAAAGTAAACAGTAAGTGTAACAATATGACACTGCTAAACAACTGCTACTGTTGCATAAAGATGTCTGTCTCCAGAAAGTTACATAAAAAGTGGATGCTGGGTCTTATGCAGTCTCCATGTACCTCCTTGCAAAGATGAAGTCTCTGGAACATCTTTCTTCAGAGCAGATAGGTGTACCTAGCACATTTAACCTAATTCATTCCTACTACTGCAATAAAATTGAAACTCACTTGAAAAAGTGACTGGACATACTTGTAAACTTTCTGCACAGTCCAAATGTAATAGTAGTACTTGTGGTATTCAACACTGTGGATGGATAAAGGTTTTGCTCAGATGTTTAATCTAGAAAGTGTGTACTGAGGAATCTTTGCTATATGTATGATCTTTTGGCAGATTTCTTTCTCTTAATAGGACTTGGTGTCAGTACTTAACTTCTCACCATGTTCCAGTTGAAGGTTTACATAAGGAAGAACTAGACCTATAGGTAAGGGATGTTCCTGAGTTCAGAGGATCTCCTAATAAAAGCACTTATAACAAGCCTGTGGTGAAGGAGGCAAAGGTGGCCTTAGACAATGCAGAGCTCCTGAAATGGAAGCTGAGGTTGTAAACTATTCTTTAGAAAATAATTTTCCTAATGTCCTGCCAAAAGGCAGTGCCTGAGGCACTCCAAGTCCACATCTTCTGCTGCAGTATCCACACCTGCCTAGCAAACACACTGTGCCTTTCTTAAATTTCTTATAATGACTCACTTCCCAAAAGAAGGATTCCAAACCCATTCCTGGAAACCTCCTTAATTCCCTACTCTCTACCTTCAAAACAAGCAATTATTGTCCATAGCTGGCTGGTGGTGCCAAGGGCAGCAGGATGCAGGTATATGGTGGTGTGTGGGAAACAACTGGATGGTAGGCCTTGGATTTGAACAGTTGCAGCTCTGAAGTTGTAAAGAATGTAAACAATCTAGGATGGGAAAGTAGAAAAGGAGGAAAACTGCTGTAAATAACAGGTGCTGTTTTTGAGATTTGCCAGCATGCGAAGAACTGTCAACCACCTATCAAAAGACGAGTTTAGGCGCGTGAACAGAAGTACCTGACCAATGAAATATAATATGCTTGCGTGTGGACAGAGAAAAAGAATATAAATCTAAGCTTAATGTAAATAAAGTTGCCACGTGTGCTTTTCCTACTGAATTGCTGTCTGGGTGTATTCCTTTCTGTCAGCAGCAGTGCAGGTGCTGGAGCCACAGGAATCTATTACTGCATGTCACCATTCTCCTGGTAATTGCCCATTTGCATTTACCCTACAGTGATGGAAAGTATTTGAGAAAACTGTGCTGACTTACTGTAAGTACCTCTGCTGGCTTGGGGGTAAATCCTGCCTGAGGTAAATCCTGAAGTTAGACAGCTCAGTTTTACCATAGCAGTGTGCTTGAGAGGCTGACTTACACAGAAATGCAGCATCCTTGAAGGGTTGCTAGACTACACTTGAGAATGTTGGTGTGGTGCCACGCTCCCTTTGGCATGCCTCCTGCTGTGAGTGCCCTTGGAGCTGTAAGCTTTGTGGCTCTCAACCCTAAGGGTTAAAGGCAGCTCTGGGCTGAGGTCAAGGCCCAGATGAGAAAACTATGGAGAGAACAAATATGTTCCTGGAGCTGTAGGATTGTGGCTCTCCGAATCCTAACCCTAACCCTGCTTTTGTCACAGATCCAAACCACAGTATTATGACAGGTGCTATGGCGAAAACTAACTTCATCCCAGCCAGAACCTGTACACTGTGTCACAAGATACCAAACATAAAACATGACAAACATGTGAGTCCACTGTAGGGACAGTGGGCATCTGGGATCTGTGTAAGACAGTAACATAACCCCTTCTCTTCTGGTAAATTGTCTGGAGCACAGCAGCAATTCCTGCATGAGAGTACCCCAACCTTTAGTTAGAAGATCAGAGGGATCAATAGGCCAGGCAAGTGAGTGCTTTTATAGAAGGTCTGGGTCCATAAAAGATTTGAGCAGGAAGAGATATGTGTTTGTTTCTGAACTGCAGCCAGGTTAATTTAAATATTTATGTGAGGACTCTTGGTGAGTTTTGGTGATTCTGCAGCCCAGCATGTGGGGCAGTCCAAGTTCAGTCACACTCAACACCTGGCTGTCAGCAGCTGCTCTCCAGGTCCATGGGCCAGGAGTTCTGGGCTGATATCTCAAATGTCAAGCAGGAGTCTGGAAAGTGAAAGAAATTCAAAGCAGCTCAGAGCTGAGTTGGGAATAGGGGAAAAAACCCCAAATCTTTCTTTACTTCATGTAAAGGTTGGAAAAGTTATGTTCTTATACTCCCATGTCCATGAGAAGCGTATGTTTTGGCTCGGAGATGTAATAATTAAGGGCTGCTGAGGTGGAGACATGTTGAAGGATGTGAACTCAGGGTCTGACCTGTGATGAAGACCAGCTGGAAAGGGGTAACAGAAGCATGCAGTTAAAAGGGTCAGGCTGA